GGAATGGAGAGAGGGAAAGTGGGAGAAAAATGTTGGACAAGAAATATACTCATTATCTTACATATAACTATAACCCCTCTGTAATCACCTTTACAATAAAATTAAATTTAAATTTTAAAAAAAACAAGCTACATTGACTCAAAGAGGATTTCTGTTATATTTGATAGTTAATAGTTTTGTTTTGGTTTTGGTGCTGCTCCTGGGGCTTGAACTCAAGTGCTTAGACACTGTCCTTGACTTTTTTGCTCAAGTGTAGTGCTTATCCACTTGAGCCACAGCTCCACTTCTGGCTTTTTGGTGGTTAATCGGAGATAAGAGTCTCATGAACTTTCCTGCCTGTGCTGACATCAAACCTCAATACTCAAATATCAGTCTCCTAAGTACTTAGAATTACAGGTGTAAGCCACCAGCCTTTGGCTCAAACAATTTCCTTTCCAGTGAGGATTTTATGTTTGTTATTCTGACACATGGCAAGGCAGATTTTTACTCTGTCACTTACTTGAGATTCCTGTGACCTAAGAATCCTGTTCTATTTTATTTCCCAGTGTGAAGAACAACTTGCTATTTGTACTGATTACATTCTACTCTTCAGAAAGTTTATTTGCTGGTTTTTCTCCAAGAATGTCTGATTTAGGCATGATATTCATTTACAGTATTTAATGTAAATACATGACTTAGCTCATTAAGTGATGATCTATCACCAAAGATTTTTCATTTACTAGCTCTAGTAAATACACACACACATACATACACACACACACACACACACACACACACACACACACACACACACACATCTGAATTTTACTTAAGACAGCAGATTCTGGAGCTGGATTGCCAGGCTTCAAATACTAGTTCTATACTAATTAGGGCAAAGTACTGCAACTTTTTGCACTTCAGTTTCCTTACTATAAAAAACAGTGATAATGAGCTGGGCAGGTGACTCAGTGGTAGAGTGCTTGCCTGCATGCATGAGGCCTTGGGTTCAATTCCTTGACACCACATAAGCAGAAAAAGCCAGAAGTGGCACTGTGGCTCAAGTGGTAGAACGCTAGCCTTGAGCTGAAGAGCTGAGGACAGCACCCAGGCCCAGAGTTCAGGCCCCACCACTGACAAAACAAACAAACAAACAAACAAAAAAGCAGTCATAATAATATAGGGATTAAATGAGCCAATACATAGAAAGCACTTAGTGTGTGGCATGAATTAAGTTTGAATAAAAGTTATTTAGTAGTAATAAATATCATAGTTTAAACTAACTCATCTGGTTTTCTATTTTAGTCTCCATATCTTTCCTGGTAACCTGATTTATCCATTAAGAGTTTCCTGTTCCTACCAGGTGCCAGACAATATAGCCGGCATTGAAAACCTTGTAAGAAGATAGCTAAGATATCTGCATTTACAGAAGCAGCACCACCACATTCTCACCAACAATTCTCTTTTTTAATGTTAAAATCATGCCTCATGATGAGGAGATGCCAGGCTCCTGAATGAGACAGTTGAGTTCTTTTAGGACAAATACCATGCTTCCCTCTTGGCTCACTATATCCTTAACTGAAAGTGTCTTTTTGTTGTGTATTTTAAATTTTATTGTAAAGGTAACATACAGAGGGGTTCCAGTTACATAAGTCAGATAATAAGTATATTTCTTTTTAAATAGTAGGAAGGGTCTATACACTTAACTTGTAGCATTTTCAGCTTCCTAATTCTTGACTATCTTCCTTATATTTCTCCATGCCTTATTTTACCTATTGACACATTTATAGTTCTCCTCCATCATCCCATTCACACAAATATAGCAAAAAACCCATAGATTAAAAAAAGAAACCTGAGACATACCAATTATTTTCAATATATAGTTTGTAATTCTTTTTGTCAGGCACAGTAGCTCAAGCTTACATATCTGGCTACTTGGCAGGCAGAAAAAGGAGGATCACAGTTTAAAGTTAGCCCATGCAAGAAAGTTAGCAAAATCCAATCTTAAAGAAGTGGGTATGGAGATGTATAGCAATGTGGGAGGTGTATGTAAGAAGACAGCAGTTCAAAGTTAGTCTCGATAAGAACTTGAAAACCTATCTGAAAAAAAAAAAAGCAAAAAGGACTGGGGGGCATGGCTCAAGTGGTAGAGCTCTTGCTTAGTAGGTGCAAGGTTCTGCATTCAAACCCATGTCACCTTGTCCCTAAAAAAGAAACTCTAATTGCCAATACTACTGTGGTTATATATATTTATTCTCTTTAAGGTATATTTTAAAGTCATGAGGTTTACTCATTTCAAGAGATGTTTTTAGTAACTTTACCAAGTTTTGCAGCCATCAGTATACCCTCATAAGATTCATGTCCATCAACAATCTACTGATCTACCTCCAACATGTCAGTAACAATAATCTACTTTCTAACAATGTTTGCCTTTTCTAAGCATTTCACATAAACAGAATTATACAATATGCAATTTCTTGTGTGTAGCTCCTTTCATTTAGCACATTGTTTAGTTCATGTTTAAGCATGTACTAGTTTAAGCATGTATTCTATTATACATAACACATTGTGTCTACTCATTATCAGTCAGAACTCCAAGTTTGAGTATTATAAGAAATGCTGCTATGGCTGGTTGCTGGTGGCTCATGCCTGTAAGGTTCCAGGAAGCTAAAACCTAAGGATCATGGGTCAAGGCCAGCCTGGGTAGAAAAGTCTGCAAAACTCCATATCTGATTAACTAGCAAAAAAGTAGCCTGGACTGGAGGCATGGCTCAAGTGGATGAAAAAGCCAAGTGAGAGTACGAGGGCCTGAGTTCAAGCCTTAGTAAGGCACTGGAAAAAGAAAAGAAATGCTGCTATGAACAATTATGATTAATACAGAAGTCAGTGTGCAGTTAGATATGAGAGACTAGACCATTATGGCACATTTCTGTTTAACATGTTAAGAAATGCAAAACTACTTTCCAAAGTGGCATCACCATCTTACATTTCCATCAATAGTATAGTATGATTTGTTTGTGGCTATATTTTGAATTCTTATCCTCTCTCTCTCTCTCTCTCTCTTTCTCTCCCTCTGACTCCTCGACAGATACAGACAGCTCAACCTGATAGAATGTTTGGGATCTGATTCCAAATGACAAGAGAGTAGAAGAGACTACTCAATACTGCTGAAACAAGGTTAGCAGTGGTGGTAGTAATATTAATACCAGCCACTACTAAAGCACATACTTCGTGCCAGGTTTCGAAGTAGATGCTTTGGACTTTATCCTAATCCCTACAACAACTTGAAGAAGTAAATACTATCATGATCTCCATTTTAGACATGAAAAAAAAGTTCAAGAAAGTTTACATAATGTAGTCAAGTCTAGATTAGAATCAGTAATCTGCCTTTCAAGTTTGAGCTCTTAACCACGCAACCACGCTCACCAATAAATGATCATTTCTCCCAAAACACAAACTAAAGAAATTAAACAGAAAAATTCAAAGTGGCTTCTACAAAAATCTAAATAGGGAATCTAATGTTAATTATATTTACATATTTATCTAATACACACATATAGGTAATCACCCTTCTTTCTCCGGGTGGTATAATATGAATGATTTTTATTTTGCTTTTAGCTGCACATTCTACTTTTAATATATTGATAAAATATACTGATAGTGAACATTTGGCAATGTTGAAGATATTAATCAGAAAGCAATTGACTTGATGGACAATAACATTTTAAATTTCTAATTTTTAAGAGAATTTTAAGGTATACTGAGTGAGTTCTATGTTCAGTGCTGGGAGTGCAAATTTGATAGCAACCTGGAAACAAAGAACAGCCATGTCTAGAATGACAAAACAGTTGCTATAAAGACTTCAGGAGAGCTATTCCTTCAGGCATCATCTTAATTATGTCAGGGCTCAGGGGAAGCTTCCTCAAAGAGAAGACATTTCACTGATTTGAAAGAACGATGTATGTTAGAATCATCAAGTAACTTATCTACTTAATTGCCCTCAGATTTCACCAACATCAAATGCCCTGCTTAGATTCCTTATAAATTTAGGAGTAGGAGACTCAGGGAAAACAAATCTTGGTCATGTGATATTAGAATGCTATTAAGACTGTTCAAAATCTATAAATACATATAACTGAAAAACTTTTTTACTCATTATATGTACACCTGGATTTTTATAGAAAAAGTTTGCCCATTCCTGAAAAATCTCTGAGTGGATTTCTCTTTATACTGAAGCTTCTACCTAACTGCAGAAGAATTCATTTAGACACTATCCCCGTTATTTGCTGTTATAGTAGGAAAAGAGAGTGGGAGGGCTTTCTGGGAGATGATAGGTAATAATGAGTAGTTATCACAGAAAGATGTAGGTTATCATAGTTAGTTATCACAGAAAGAGGAAGGCAGAGAAATCCAAGGGGGAAATATAGTTAAAATCTAACAACATACTGAACAGCTCTAAAAGACTTTACAATAAGCCATTGAAATTGGAAGGTATTACTGTTACGATATTAATGACATAGTGGTGTGTGGGTTGAATGAGAAACCTGAGACTCCAAGAGCCTGCAGTCTGGAGACAAAGTGCTAGGCTACAACTTCCCAAATCTCAGTTCAGTTCTTCCCATTGCATCATATCACCTTTTCAACAGGGGACAGCGTTAGCCTAGAAACACACCACATCAATGTGTTCCAAGTTAGTATCTTCAGAAGAAACCTTTCCTCTATTATTTTGGGGGAAGGTGTACGCCAGTCTCAAAGAAGTGGAGGAAAAAGCAGATAACTTGTTCTGTTACCAAAAGATGTTGGGAAAAATAAGAGAAGGTTAACTAAACATGTTTAACCTATGCCTCAGCCTTTCACGGTGGCCCACTCCTGTAATCAGGAGATGGAGGCAGGAAGGATGCAAATTCCAGGCCAGCCTGAGCTCCCTAGCAAGACCTTGTCTCACTAAACCAAGAAATTAAATAAGCCTTAAGTTATCCAATGACTTTTGAGCAACTAGAAACATTAACATTCAAATAAGTTACCTGGTTCCAATTTAATTACTTTAATTGCTGCTAATTCACCAGTGTTAACATTCCGGGCCTAAAAAAAAAAAAAAAGAAAAGATTATGAAAAAAAGCTTTATAAAATGACATTCTAGTTATTGTTTGTTTTCATTTATATGAAGTGTTCTTAAAGCAAAAACTACAGAAGTAATTTATATTTATAAAACAAACTACTATACCCTCCGTCCACAGTGAACTGCAGTACTGACTCACACACCAACCTAATATCAGCAACAAAAGCTAATACACAGACCTAAGTATTTATGTACTAGAAAATATTTAAGTGGTTTGATTAAGGCTATTTATTCCTCAGAACACTCTTACAAAGAAGCATAATAATAATACTATTCCCATGCTGCAAAGGAGGAAAGAGAAGCATAGAGAATCTAAAGAACTCATCATGGTCACCTGCCTGGTAAATGACAGTACTAACATTCCAACCCAGGCAGTCTGACTCCATTCAAAATAAATGTATTTAAGATGACCAAGTATACATATTTGTAATTTAAAAAGCATTTAAAAATCAATACATAATATTAGATTGCTAGTATTAACTACTGTATAATTATTTTCTTTTTTTTATTGTGAAAATACTGTACAGAGGGGTCACAATTACATGGGCAAGATAACGAGTACATTTCTTATCAAGCATTATAGCCTCCTCCTTTGTTTCCCCTTCCCATCCCTTTCCATCCTCCCCCCCCCCAACAAAGTTGTAAAGTTCGTTTTCGACCTAACGACTTGTACTTCTCATTGTTGCAATGGGTCCACCTGTATCCCTATTTAAACGACTTGTTTTTCCCCTTCCCCTCCACAAATTTGTATAATTATTTTAAATAAGTAGAAACTTTCAATTTGTACAACTTTGCCAGCTTAAAATACTTCAGATACTTCATATTTTAAAATGTAAATTAGTTTTCATATCAACCAATGGAGAATATAAACACTTCCTTGATCACTGGAAGATCACACACCTGACCAGGATCATTCTAATTTGAACCACTTTAGAACTGGAAATTCTGTTAACTAAGGAATACTTCTAAGAATACTAGGACATTAAAAATATCAGCGAAAAATCTAGGAAAGTGGATAGAAGCATAGCCATCACAAAAATACTTTTGTGTCTTAGAGCTTGAATTCAGGGACTAGGTGCTGTCCCTGAGCTTTTTTTGCTCAAGGCTAGTACTCCATCACTTTGAGTCACAGCTCCACTTCCGATGTGGGGGTTGTTAATTGGAGAAAAGAGTCTCACAAACTTTCCCATCCTGGCTGGCTTTGAACTGTGATTCTAAGAGCTGAGCCTCTTGAATAACTAGGATTACTGGGCTTAAATACATCCTTTTAGCTTGAAGAAAAAGGTATTTAAAAATCTCATGCACCAGGCACTGGTGGCTCATGCCTGCAATCCTAGGAGGCTGAGATCTGGGAACCATGATTCAAAGCTAGCAGGGGCAGGAAAGTCCATGAGACTCTTATTTCCAATAGACCACCAGAAAACTCAAAGTGGCACTGTGGCTCAAGTGGTAGAGTGCTAGCTTTGAGCTGAAGAGCTGAAGAACTGAAGGGCAGCGCCCACGCCCAGAATTTAAGCCCCATGACTGACAAAAAAAAAAAAAAACCAAACCAAACCAAACCTCCTCATAAAAAAATAAATAAAATTTGCAGGAGAAAATGTATTTAAAAATTATTTCTTCAAACAAAATCCTCACAATTGTTAAACACTCTGACACACTTATTACAACCTCAAATTCCCTCAAAGTAAATGAGGTAGCTGTTTCAAACAGCACTGGATGAATATTTGTTCATTTCTACAGGATGAAATATCATAGTGATGAACCAGAACACTATACAGGAAGCATCTGCAAAGGAGAGCAGAGTGTACCTTGAAAACACTGAGGTCTCTCCCTGTAACTTCAGGTACAAAGTTTCCCCAACACTACAACTACCTCCTGTCCTCACATTAAGACATCTTTCTTCCTTATACTCTATTCTTCACTCTACACCATTCTCAGCATCTGCACAAATAGACAAGATGTTACTCTCCAACTACTCACCATTTTAAAATCAGACTGTGATTTTGTATGTTTGTTTATTCAAAAGAATTTCGGAGTATTGGTATTCTATTAAGGAGGAGTCGAGAATGGTGAATTCATACAAGGGTGAATTGCTTATAAAAGAAACACTACTCCCACTGACCACATGGGGGCAACCTTTCTACTGACAAGTTACACAGTATCCAAAATGGTTGCAGTACACAATATACTCTACTAAAAATAGATGAAAATAGTTAACACCAACACATAGTTAACAGAAAATATCATGAAGGGAAACTACAGACCAATAGTTTACAAAGGAACTACAGGCTTGACTTATGAATGTAACATTTTATATGGTGTATCAGTTCTGAATTTTCTAAAGGGTAATAGTTTCAAAATGATGGCTGTTCATAGTAAATTGGAAAAAAAAAGATTTGAAACTTTCTATACTGTCTGAAATAGTTTCCTGTATGTAACCACTTGTCAATAATAAGACAATTCACAAAAGGTAAGTTACAAAACACTTCAGGAAACTTCAATTTCTGGGTCTTACCAGAATCCATGTTTACCAATGAAAGTTTTCAAAGAAATACCACACATGAAGAAGTGGCACAAACCCAGCATTTGGGAGGCAATGCAGGAAGATCTGATTGAGCTCAACCTAGGATACATATTATGCTTACTTGAAACACCCTAACCGGTGAAAATCTGACAAAAACTGGTGAAAATCTGACAAAAGCTGTTAACACTATTAATGAAAGAATTTTAAGGATCTATAGGAGGACACAACTGTTTTTTCAAAGAATGCCTATTTAATACCCTACTTTGATTGACTGATTGATTGAGCGTGGGGTCATGAGATCCAGGGCCTTACAACTAATAGGCAAGCATTCTACCTCTAAAGCTGTATCTCAGCTCTGAATCCCTTGAATGGCATATCTCCCAGACATCACTGCGCACACATATATACACACATGTGCATGTGAACATGCATACATACATATAGGCATGCTCCCTCACACACACACACCCGCAAATGCCTTGGGTAATATTAATCAAATGGGAGTGGGCCTGATGAAGGGAACATGCAGATTTAAAGCTAATCTGTTTATAGGAGCACTTGGAAACTGTTACAGATTTTTATTTGGGTCAGGTTCCTTCTAATTCTATGACAATGTTTACATCAAATAACTTCAGTCTAAACTAACAGATTCAAAATACTAAACCAGATGGCAAGTTATATAAAAATCATAAGGCGTTTACAAAACAAAACAACAAATTCTGGCACTTACTTTGAATCAGTATATTTAGAATCTGTAATTAAGCTACTGAGGTAATTCTGATGGCCATACTTGAGAATCTGACCTAAAGCACAGAGCCATTTAAGTTTTATAAAATGTAACTGCCCACTTCTAATGCTCAAAAGAGCATCACACAGGGTAAGATGGGGGAGAAAAATGAAGAGATGAAATTGATCAAGATGCTTTGTACTTACTCATAACCCAACTTCTGGAAGTGAAACTCCTGTGTACAACTACTTAATAAAATATATAAATTGAAGAAAGCATCATAGATGGCTACATGAGGTGATACCATTTATGTAGGTTGGAAAGAAGGCAATTTACAACAAAGGAAATGAATTAAAAGGGCACAGAAAGAAAAGCTTAAGACTTGCGGACGGAAAACAGACTGAGTGTACAGGAAGGATAGGTGACAGAGTACCTCTCACATAAACGCTCCCTTTTCAGAGGGAAATACATAACCTATACTCACTGCTTGGAGGATTGTTTGCTTTTCCATATGTGTTTACCCCTAAGAAAACTAGTTCAGTGGAAGGGTGCCTAGCATGTCCAGGACACTCCTAATTTATGCTGTGTCATTATTACTTGTGTATGTGTGCACATGTGTGTATGGGGGGGGGCAAACGTGAACACATGGTGTCTCTCAGCTTTTTCTGCTCAAGATGCTCTAGCACTTCAGCCATACCTCCACTTCTTGCTTTCTATGGCAGTTAAGTGAAGATCAAGTTTCACAGACTTTACTGCCTGGGCTGACTTCAAACCACAATCCTCAAATCTCAGTATTCTGAGTAACTAGGATTAGAGGCACGGGCAACTGATGCCCAGCTCTATTACTATTATTAATAATGCTTACTTTATTCCTAAACAAATTATTTTGGCTGATAAGTCTTGATTTGGCAGTACTGGAGTTTGAATTCAGAGACCAGTGCTTATTAGGTAGAAGCTCTACCATTTGAACAACATTCCCCAATGTTTTCTGCTTTCATTATTTTTAAGATTGGGTCTTGATTTTTGCCTTGCCAGGCCTGGCCCAAAATCTATATGCACTTCCTGTGTAGCTAGGCTGACAGGTTTTTGCTACTACATTCAGCTTTTATACTGACTGAGATGCAGTCTCAAGAACATTTTGCCCTGGCTTCAAACCTGTATCTGTCTCTGTCTCACTTTTCTGAGCCACTAGGATTATAGGTATGAGCCACGCTGCCCAGCCTGAACAATCCCTGAGGTCACATGAACAAAGAATATTGAATTGAACACTGGGTTCTGTAAAGGAAGGGGCATGAATCCAGTATAGAATACCATCCTATCAAGTTTGAAGCCTTGAGTTCAAACCTTAGTATGTCCTCCTCCAAAAGGACACTTAAACAAGTCCAGAAAACAGTATTTCAACAAAATGTTATCAATAAAAAGATAAAAATCATAAAAAGGAAGTCAGTCACTGGTGGCTCACACGTGTAATCCTACCTACACAGGAACTGAGGACTGAGATTCTAAAACAGTCTGAGCAGAAAAGTCCTTGAGACTCTAGCCCCAGTTACCCAGCAAAACAGCTGGGCTGTAGTGGAAAAAGCCAGGAAAAAAAGTTGAGACCCTGAGTCTTTAGTACAGAAAAAGGACAGAAGAAAAACAAAATTAAAGAAGGGACCAAATAGAAAAGCTGGCCCTGAAAAGCTCAACAACTGAAATGTAAAACTTA